GAGGGAAGAAAGTCTCTTCAACAAATGGTGCTGGGATAACTGGACAGCCACATGTAAAAGAATGAAAATCAACCATTCTTTTTCACCATTTACTAAAATAAACTCAAAATGGATCAAAGACCTAAAGATTAGGCCTGAAACAATAAGTCTTCTAGAAGAGAATATCGGCAGTACACTCTTTGACATCAGCTTCAAAAGAATCTTTTCAGACACCATAACCCCTCACATGAGGGAAACAATAGAAAGAATAAACAAATGGGACTTCATCAGACTAAAGAGCTTCTTCAAGGCAAGGGAAAACAGGATTGAAACAAAAAAACAGCCCACTAATTGGGAAAAAATATTCACAAGTTATTTATCCGACAAAGGGTTAATCTCCGTAATATACAAAGAACTCACACAACTCAACAATAAAAAAATCAAACAACCCAATTACAAAATGGGCAGGGGACACGAACAGACACTTCTCCAAAGGAGATATACGGATGGCCAATAGACACATGAAAAGATGCCCATCATCACTAATCATCAGGGAAATGCAAATCAAAACTACACTAAGATATCACCTTACACCTGTTAGAATGGCAAAAATATCCAAAACCAAGAGTGACAAATGTTGGAGAGGCTGTGGAGAAAAGGGAACCCTCATACACTGTTGGTGGGAATGCAAACTGGTGCAGCCACTATGGAAAATAGTATGGAGATTCCTCAAAAAGTTAAGAATAGAAATACCTTATGACCCAGCCATCCCACTACTGGGTACCTATCCTAAGAACCTGAAATCAGCAATTCCAAAAGTTCCATGCACCCCTATGTTCATCGCAGCATTATTCACAATAGCCAAGTCATGGAACCAACCTAAGTGCCCAGCAACTGATGATTGGATAAAGAAGATGTGGTGTATATATATACAATGGAATACTACTCAGCCATAAAAAAGGACAAAGTCGTCCCATTCACAACAACATGGATAGACCTTGAGGGTATTATGTTGAGTGAAATAAGCCAGACAGAGAAAGACGAACTCTGTATGACTCCACTCATAGGTGGTAGTTAACATATGGACAAAGAGAACTGATCGGTGGTTGCCAGGGGAAAGGGGGGTGGAGGGAGGGCACTAGGGGTGAAGTGGTGTACCTACAACATGACTAATAATGATGTACAACTGTAATTTCACAAGGACGTTAACTTTCATAACCTTAATAAAAAAAAATTTTTTTTAAAGTTATCAAACAGCATTGCATGCTACAGAGAACCTGTTTTGAAAAGAAGAGTCAATCAATGAGTCAAACGTCACTGTTGGCGTATTTTAAGAAATTGCCTCAGCCACCCCAACGTTCAGCAACCACCACCCTGATCAGTCAGCAGCCATCAACACTAAGTCAAGACCCTCCCCCAGCAAAAAGATTACGACTCACTGAAGGCTCAGATTATGGTTAGCATTTTTTATACCAATAAAGTATTTTTTAATTAATGTACATACCATACATTCCTCTCTCTCTCTCTCTTTTTTGTTATTGTGAGGAAGATTGGCCCTGAGCTGACATCTGCTGCCAATCCTCCCCTTTTTTGCTTGAGGAAGATCGTCCCTGAGCTAATGGTGGTGCCAATCTTCCTCTATTTTGTATGTGATATGTCTCCACGGCATGGTTTGATGAGCAGTGTGTAGGTCCATGCCCAGGATCTGAACCCAGGCTGCCAAAGCAGAGCATGTGAACATAACCACTATGCCACTGGGCCATCCCCTGTACATTCTTTTTTCAGACATAATGCTATTGAACAGTTAAGAGATTACAATATAGTGTAAAAATATCTTTTATATGCACTGGGAAACCAAAAAATTCGTGTGACTCACTTTTTTGTGATATTCATTTTCTTCTGGTGGTCTGGAGCGAACCCCAATAACCCCAAGGTATCCCTGTGTAGCTTCAGCACTTAGATTTAGGTCTTTGATCCATTTTGAGTTAATTTGTGTGTGTGGTGTGAGGTAGGAGTCTGACTTCATTCATTTGCATGTGGATATCCAGTTGTTGCAGCACAGTGTGTTGAAAAGACTATTGTTGCCCCATTGAATTGTTTTGGCACTCTTGTCAAAAATAAATTGACCATAAAGAGAAGGAGAAGACAAGGCATAGACTAGGAGAAAGTATTTGTAAAAGTATATCTAATAAAGGATTGTTATCCAAAATATATAAAGAACCCTTAAAAATCAACAATAAGAAAACAACCCAATTAAAAATGGGCAAAAGATCTGAACAGACACCTCACCAAAGAAGATATACAGCTGGCAATAAGCCTATGAAAAGATGCTCCACATCATATGTCATTAGGGAATCGCAAATTGAAACAACGAGTTACCACTACACACCTGTTAGAAGGGAGAAAATCCACTTCACGGACAGCACCACATGCTGCTGAGGATGCAGAGAAGCAGGAACGCTCCTTCATTGCTGGTGGGAACGCAACATGGCATGGCCATTTGGGAGACAGTTTGGCAGTTTCTTACAAAACTAAACATACTTTTACCACATGATTCAGGAACCACACTCTTTGATATTTACCCAAATGAGTTGAAAACTTATGTCCACACAAAAACCTGCACATGGATGTTTACAGCAGCTTCATCATTGCCAAAACATGAAGGCAACCAAGATGTCCTTCAAGGTGAATGGATAAATGAACTGTAGTGCGTGCAGACAAGAAACATTACTCTGCTCTAAAAAGAAAGGAGCCATCAAGCCATGAGAAGACATAAGACAACCTAAATGCATATGACTAAGTGAAACAGGCCAATCTCAAAGGCTAAAGACTGTGTGATTCTATTACCAATATATGTCATTCTGGAAAGGCAGAACTGTGGAGACAGTGAGAAGATCAGTGGTTGCCAGGGGTTAGTGGGGAGGGAGGGATGAATAGGTCAAGCGCAAAGGATTTTTAGGGCATACACTAATAGCATGCACATGTCACTATACATTTGTCAAAACCCATGGAATGTACAACACCAAGAGTGAGCCCTAATGGAAACTATGGGCTATCGGTGATAACGATGTGTCAATGTAGGTTCATCAATTACAACAAATGTACCAATCTGCTGGGGTGTGTTGAGAGTGCGGGAGGCTGTGCACGTGTATATGGGAACTCCACCTTCTGTTCAATTTTGTTGTGAACCTAAAACTGCTCTAGAAAATACAGTCAATTTTTTCAAAAGCAATTGCCCATACATTTTTAAAAATTAATTGCCCTATTTTTGGACTCTCAATTCTATTCCATTGATCCATATGTCTACCCTTAGGTCAGTAACACACTGTCTTAGTTACTTTAGCTTTGCAGTCAGTTTAAAAATCACAAAGTCTAAGTCCTGGGGCCAGCCCAGTGGCATAGTGGTTGTTTGCATGCTCACCTTCAGTGGCTGGGGAATCACCAGTTCGGATCCCCAGCACAGACCTACACACCATTCATCAAGCCATGCTGTGGCAGGCATCCCACACATAAAGTAGAGGAAGATGGGCACGGATGTTAGCTCAGGGCCAGTCATCCTCAGCAAAAAGTTCCCTAGTGGGGAGCTGCCATTAGGGTCCCCCACGGTCCTCCAGGCTTGACAGGTGCTTCTGGGCTAGGAGGGGCTGCCATTGGTGTCTGAGGGGCCCTAAGGGTGCCCCAAGCTGAAGGACTGGAGGTTGTCCCCAGGAGTCTTCTTGCCTCCTTTGAGGACATTGGCTGTAGCTAGAAGCTCAGAACAGCCAGCGTGAGTTCACAGAACTCATGTTCATGTTCTGTTCATGTTCAAGTTCACGTTCTGCCGATTCACAGAACACTCCCCAAAGCCAAGCACTCCCTCATCAATGAATAAGGGTGGCTTACTTCCATCCCTTTGTGCCGAGAGGTCAGGGACTGCCCGGGCCTCTCAGCTACATTCATACCTTCATTGTACCAGAGTCTTTCCTGATACCCACAGCCCCCATACCTCCCAGTGTTGAGGGGGCCTGGATGTTGCTCCAGCTGGTGGAGTCCATGTGTTGAGATGAGGAATCAAGGAGGGTGTCTGCAGCAATAGAAAGCAGGTGGGCTCCAGGCGCCACCCCAGATCTGGACCTTGACCTCGACCAGCCTCTCGAGGCCACCCAGGTGGGCTGGGATAGTCAGTTTCCTGGGGGCCTGGGCTTCCTCATCTGTGAACCAGGCACAGTAATAGGGCTTCCCTAGAACCTGGGAGTCTGGTCTGGACTGTCTGAGGTGTGGGTAGGTGGGCTGAATGCATGTGTGACTGCGAGGCAGGGCCCAGTGCTGGATCTGGTGCCCAAGGGTGAGGGCAGGTCCTCTGCACAGAGCACAGAGCAGGGGAGGCAGTGACAGCAAGTGAGTTGCATCAAGTTCTAAGGGGAGGGACTTAGGCTGGAGAGGAGGTGAAGTCTTGGATACCTGGAGACAAGGGCATTGCTGTAGTGGCTCCCAGAGTAGTGCACTGGTCATGTGTCAGGGTGCGAGGGCAGGGCCTGAGGCCTTGGCTTTGGGTGCAGAGCTCAAGGTGGTCCCACTCCTGGTAGTGGTACACCAGCTTAGCAGGGTGAGGGATGGGGGGATGAACACAGCTGTCTGAGCCCAGATGGCCACCTCAGCATAGCCCAGGGCCGCAGAATCGCTCCTGTTCGGGGCACTACAGGCCTGGCTCTGCTCCTGGGAAGCCTTGTGTTTCCACCCTGCTCTCAATCCCACACCACTGGAGCGGTTCCTAGCCAGGCTCCCTGGGACTGCCCCACCCCCACCCTCAACGCCCCTCCCAGGCACACCCAGGTCCCCCTCCGCCAGGCTCCCTCGCTTGCCAGGAGGCAGCCCAAAGGGATCCCCCTGCTTCCTTGTGACCTCCTGTCCACCCTGCTGGCAGGCCCTGACCCAGCCTCATCCCGCCCTCCAGCCAGCCAGTGGTTCCGGGCTGGGGTCCCCAGGGTAGAGTCAGAGCAAGGACTGAAGACTGCTCCGGACCCAACTGGGTAGCCTGTCACTCTCTCTGGCCCTCATAGGTGCTGGTAGCTGGTTTGGTGCTCCTCTTAGCTGCCCACCATGGCCCTGGGACCGCCCAGCACTGCCAGCTTGGCACGCTTCTGCCACAAGCTGAACCGGCTGAAGACACTGGAGGAGTCCACCACGGAGACATCACTGCGGCACCACCTGACCATGCTGGACCTGATCCTGCTGGGCATGGGTACCACAGGGAGCGTGGGCCTCTATGTGCTTATGGGAACTGTGGCCAAGGAGATGGCCGGCCCTGCGGTGCTCGTGTCTTTTGGAGTGGCTGCTGTAGCCTCCCTGCTGGGAGTCCTATCCTATGCAGACTTCGGGGTACGTGTGCCCGGCAGGGGCTCTGCCTACCTGTTCACCTACGTGTCTGTGGGTGAGCTGTGGGCCTTCTTTGCTGGCTGGAACACGATCCTGGGGTACCTCATTGGTGGTGCTGCTGTGGCCCGGGTCTGGAGCAGCTACCTGGACGCCATTTTCAACCACCGCATCCGAAGCTTCACCATGGCCCATGTGGGCACCTGGCAGGCGCCCTTCCTGGCCCAGTACCCAGACTTCTTAGCTGCTGGCATCGTGCTTTTAATCTCTGCTTTCATCTCCTGTGGAGGCCGCATCTCTTCCTGGCTCAACCGCTTGTTCTCTGCCATCAACCTGGTCGTCATCCTCTTCATCATCATCCTGGGGTTTGTCCTGGCCCGCCCGCACAACTGGAGTGCTGAAGAGGGCGGCTTTGCACCCTTTGGCTTCTCAGGCATCATGGACGGCGCCGCTATCTGCTTCATTGCCTTTCAGGGCTTTGGCGCCATTGCTGCCTCCAGCGCAGAGGCCCAGAATGCAAAGCGAGCCGTGCCTATGGCCATCGCCATCTCGCTTGGCCTGGCGGCTGGTATCAACATCCTCGCCTCTGCTGCGCTCACACTCATGGTGCCCTGGCGCAGCCTGGACCCTGACTTGGCGCTCACTGATGCCTTCAACCAGCGGGGCTACAGTTGGGCGGGCTTCATCGTGGCAGCTGGTGCTATCTGCGGTAAGAGGCCCTTCTGGGCAAGGAGGGAGGCAACAGGGTGGTGGGGCCCTGCCCTAAGCCTCCCTGGGAACACAGCTCCATCTGGGCCTGTGTTCCCAGTTGCATCCTGGGTCCAGGAAGGTGCTAATGATTAGACTTTCCACCCAGGCTTGTTGGGAGTGACCCACTTACTGCCCTGCCAATTGTACACAGAATGTCAGTTCTGGGCATGAGCTGCCTGGTCCTTTCCTGGTGGAGGGACTCAGCCCTCATTAGATTCTCCAGTGGGTCTGTCACCTAAACTGGGCTGTCCCATTCCTAGGTGGTGAGAGGGAACAGTTGAGCACCCTACATACACTCAGGCTCACTCTGAGAGCCCAGACAAACTCATGCCCCTGTTCCCAAGGGACCACCCATGCCCTGGTCCCCAGCAGCGACCCTTGGTGGGCCTGTCCACCATGCTGACCAGTCTCCCACCCTCTGCAACAGCCACAATCACTTTCCTGCTCAGAACCGTGATTTTCCTGCCACACATGGTCCATGCCATGGCCGCCGATGGGCTCTTCTTCCAGGTGTTTACATACATGCACCCCCGAACACAGGTGCCCATGGTGGGCATCCTGGTGTTTGGAGTCATCGTGGCTTTCCTGGCGCTGCTGCTGGACTTCAAGGCACTGTTACTGTTCATGTCCATCAGTGCACTGCTGAACCGCACCATAGTGGCCACCGGCATTATTGTGCTACGCTTCCAAAAGTTCCCTCCAGCCAGTTCCCAGGGCCCAGCCAGCCCTGTGGGCAGTGAGCAGGCCTCAGCCCCTGAGCCCGGTAAGCTGCGACCAGCCCTGAGGCCCTATCTAGGCTTCCTGGGTGGATGCAGACCTGGAGCTGCCGTGGCTTGGGCTCTCCGAGTCCTGGTGGCCTCAGCCATCACTCTGGACTGCGTGATGGTCTTTGGGGACTCGGCCCTGCACCTCCCGCCCTGGGGCTACACCCTGCTGCTCCTGCTCAGCTCCGTCGTGTTTCTGCTCAGTCTCCTCGTCCTGTGGGCCCACCAGCAACAGCGCTGGGAGGACACCTTTCAGGTACTTCCTCCAGCCAGCACCCCTCACTCTCAGCCCAGCCAGCTCCCTTCACCCCTTCCTTCTCTGCCGCGGCAGGATGCTCCAGGGTTGGGGCGGGGGAAGCCAGTACCCCATCCCCCTCTTTCTGCATGGCGAGTGGGCCCTTGTCTCTGGAACCTCCAGAGGCAAAGAAAGCCTCTGTGGAGTCCCAAGAAATCAGGCCCTGGGCCAGCAGTCCATCCCTGCAGCCCAGCAGCCCTGCCCTTGCCCCTCAGGTTCCCATGGTGCCCCTGACTCCAGCCCTGAGCATCCTCCTCAACGTCTTCCTCATGCTGCATCTGAGCTATCTGAACTGGCTGAGCTTCTCCATCTGTCTGCTGATTGGTGAGTAGGGACCAGGCTAGGACCCCAGGTGGGCTGCAGGAGGAGGGCAAGCAGGGAAGCTGGGTTGGGACCTGCCCCTCAGGCTTGCGTCACCCTTGCAGGACTCATGGTGTATTTTGGCTATGGCATCTGGCACAGCAAGGAGAACCAGCGGGAGCTGCCAGGGCTGCCTGCTGCACATGGCAGCCTGGAGGAGACGGTGCAGGCCCTGCAGCCCCTCAGCCAGGCCCTGGCCCAGGAGCCCGGCCACATGGAGCAGCCTGCCAGTCTATGAGGACCGCTGAGGGCCTATCTGCCCTCTCCTACCTGCTCAGCAGACCGAAGGGGCTGGCAGCCTCTTCTATTTGGGGCAGCTCAAGTTAAAGGCCTGCTCAGGCTGGGGGATCCTCAGGACCTCATGATCTTAGCCTAGGTGCCAAGTGGGCCATGGTCAGCACTGGTGTGGTGGACTCTGGCCAGTGCCCTCCAGTTTATGACCAACTCCAGCTACCTGGGCAGGTGGAACAGGGCAGACAGGGAAGAGGGTTGCAGCCCCAGGGATCCACAATAATACCTGCTCGGCCAGCTGTGTGGCCTGCTACCGTGTCCACTGTGGTATTCTTTGGGGCACTGAGACCTCACCTGCCCCCGGGAACCAGATGGTCCCCAATCCACAGCTGAGGTGCCGAGATCTGTAAGGGGGAGGCACCAGCCCTGGGACAGCCCTGAGTCAGGGACATGGCCAGGCCAGGGTCCTGGGTTCCTGCCCTCAGGCCAGCACCCTCTGGCTAGCTCAGAGGGGAGCTACACACACCAGGCACAGAGGGGTCTCTGATAGGGTGGGCCCAGGCTTCCTCCTAGTTTCTCCACATGTTGCCTTGGGTTCAGATCCAGAGAGCAGAGCCTGGACCCCAAGGAGGGCACCTAGAAAGGTCAGTGGAGTCTCGGGGCTCCCTCTCTCCCCCAGGGCTCCCAGAGTAGGGCATGTGCCTGAGGCCTGTCCCGGGATGTGGAAGCCCACCTGCCCGGGTACACACATGTGTCAGGCACAGGCCCACACGGCCCCCTCAGGGCGCACACCCACGTGCAGACTGAGGCAACAGCTGTTTCCAAGCTCAGGGCCCACAGCTCCAGCTGCCTCTCTCCTTGCTGCCCCCTCAGGGCTTTGGGATGAAGGCTCGGGATGGGACACACACGTGCAGGTGGGTGCACGAGTGCCTGGGCCCCATCTGGTGGCTATAGGGCCCCATCCTTGGGGGTTCCCAAGCCCACCCTGTACCCACTGGTCTCTCCGAAGCCATGCTACATCTACCATAGAAGCCTCCACCTCTCCGTTCCCGCCTGTGAGGACCACACAGGAAGATGCTGGCTCTGGCAGCTTTACTCCTCGACTCTCTGCTGCCTTGACATCAGCTTTCTCTGGGCCCCAAAGACAACCTGGCACACATGATCTTGGTCCAGTAACCAGGCCTCAAGGCTGTGAACTCTCACCCCAGCCCTTCTGACCCTGCCTCCCATGGACACTGCTCTGGGGATTGAGAGGCAGCAGGGACCCCAAGGCTTGGCTGGGGTTCCAGGTTCCAGATGATTCCAGATGCTGCCCAGCCTGAGCCCCAGCTTTGGCCCTCCCCAACCTGGCCTATATTGCTCTACCAGCAAGCTACCAGCATGCCCCTGGTCACCAGGGACCCATGAGAAGGCAGCCCCTCCTCTCCCTGGGGTGGGTACCCCAAATCCATGAACCTGCCCTGAGACTAAGAGATTGCTTGGCTTCTGCAGCCTCCATCTCCCCCCGACTGTGGGCCTGGGAGCACAGGGAAATTCTCCAGCAGGCAGGACTCAGGCCCCATAGGGCTTGGGCAGGCTCTGGGCCTCCACGCCTGAGGATTCCCCCACAGTGAGTGGCTGACCTGGGGGCAGGAGAGTCTAGTGGTCTGCTCTGCCCACTCCTGAGCTGACCCTGCCCTCACAGGCCTCATCTTACTCATCCATTGACTCCATCCACCCCCAGCCTGAGTCCTGGGTCTCAGCCCTGTGTCACTGCTGAGGACACAGGGGACAAGCAAGCTGGGACCTGCCTCTCAGAAGCGCCCTGCCTGCTGAGGGGACGGGGACAGAAGGGTCCCTAAACAGACACCGGCAGTGGGGGTGGAGAGAGGTGGGGGCAGGCCTGGGCTGTGGGGTCCAGAGAGGGGACTCACTCCCCTGGAAACCAGGGGCTTCCTGCCGGGAGACTGTCAGTCTGGTTTTCCAGGCATCAGGAAGGAGGCAGAGACGTAGGGCGGGGAAAGCACAGATGGGAGGGGGCAGGGCGTGGGCAGGTCCAGCCCCACATGGTTGTGAAGGGCTGGGGAGGCCAGTGAAGCCAGGCCAGGCTGGGCCCAGCGAGGTGTCAGGGGTGTCACCTCCAGGTCTGGTGGCCATGTGCACATCTGCTTAGGAGACTCAAAGATACGACAATACCTGCAACACAAGATCCTTGAGTGCATCCTGGATTAGAAAATAAAAATAGGACTATTACTGGCACGTTTTGGGAAGTTTAAATATTAGATTTATCTGCCCATGTTAAATTTCCTGAGTGTGACAAGAGGGCAGCAATCATCTGGGGAAGGTCCTCATTCCCAGGACATCATCAAGAGGGCTGAGTGTCCAGATATCTGCCACTTACTTTCCAACTGTTTCCTGTGAAATCTAAATACACCCGGCTCCCTCTAAGAAGGAGAGAGAAAGCAGATGGGGCAAAATGGTAAAACAAAAACAAAAACAAAAAAACCCCTGGTGATTCCAGATGAAGGCCAAATGGGTTTTCTTGATACCAATCTTTGAAGCTTTCTGGAGATTTTTGTAATCTTTTGGATAAAACCTTAAGAGAAAAGTGAAAAAGAAAGCCCCTGTGGGGTGGAGGGAGATGCTGGAGGAGAGTGGAGTGGAGGAAGGGCTGAGGTGAGGGGTCCAGCTGCAGGAGGGGTGTGAGGACAGGTGGGGTGGAGGCCAAAGGGCTCAGCAGGGAGGCTGGACAGAGCCTGCGCTGGGGGACCTGGAGCTGAGAGCACCCCTCCTGCCCTGGGGCCCCCCTCACACACACAGCAGACCGTCCAGAGGGACGGGCCAGGGTGTGGTCTGTCCCGGACGCCACGGGAGGACAGGTGGGGGAGGACTTGGCTGAGGAGCAGCAGGTGGGCAGTGGGGCTGCACCTGAAGTTGTAGCTCCTCTCCTGCAGCTGGAAGGAGTCATGGGGCTGGCAGTCAGAGCCCCTGGTGTCCAGGTCACAAACCCAGTGGCGGTGGATGCCCATAGCACCGCCGTGCACACAGTGCCTGACGGTTCCACCAGCACACAGGCCTGGGACCCTCTCTCTCCCCAAGTCCTCCCAAATCCCTTCCCCCAGAGACCCAGCAGCAATGCCAGGTCCTCAAACACCCCTCCAGCTGTAGCCACAGGTCCCTGATGTGGATCACAGGGCAGTAGGGGCTAAAGTGTGGGTCACAGTGGCAGCACTTGAAACAGGTGGTGTCCAAGTCTCCAAGGCATTGGACCTGAGAGGGGGTGGGGCCAGTTGTCAGGGAAGGAAGGGAACAAGGAGGGTCTGGGGTCAGCCAGGACCCACCATGCTTACCTAGAGAAGTGGAACTTGCTGTGGGTGGTAGAGTTTTTGATGAACAGCCTGAAGTTCTCATCCTGGACCAGCAGGGGCTTCTTGCAGGTGAGGGGAGGTAAGGGGCAGGCTCTGCTGGTCCTGGGACCCTGCTTGGTGTCAGGGACGCTTACAAGGGCACAGTGTCATTCTCCACAGGGAGCCAGCCCCAGATCTCACAGGTCCTGTGGGTCTCATTGAACATCAGACACTGGCCTGTGTTTATGCCTTGAAAACACAAGACAAACTCCAGGCCCTCCAATCTCCACAGCGCCTTGGAAGGGAGTGGCAGGGGGCTGTTGGCAGAAGGAAGAGAGACAGAGGCACCACCAGGCCTGCACACTGGAGCCACCCGGGGTCCCAGTACGGCCCCCTGAAACCCCATCCAACTGGAGGCACTGGAAGACAGGGCCCTCAGTTACTGTGGCTGTGGGTCCCCCTCTCCCCTTCAGGACAGTCTTCGTCAGCCCAGCAGGTCCCCAGTAAGATGGAGGGTGCTGAGGTGGTGAGAGAGCAGAGCTGTCCAGGCCCAGGAGGTGTCTCCCCTTTGTCACCCAGCCCTGCAGGCTACAGGGACATGCTCCTCCCCTGCTTAGCCCCCAGGGTCCCCTGAGTTTGGGGCACTTGGGAAAGCTGGAGGGTGCAAATAAAAGGAGGTGGTCAGAGTGGGGAGGGTGAGAAACCCCCTGGCCAGATAGGAGTGCAGTGTTGTACCCCAAGGCAGAGTGAGACTCCTCTCCTCCTGATAGCTCTGTCCCTGGTTGGGGCAGAAGTGACTCCTCGAGGTGAGCACCTCTTGTCCAACTCTGACGACAGAATAGGGAAGGTGGAGGGACTCTGGGAGGGTGAGTGCACGCCAGGGTGGAGGTGCTGGGTGTGGCAGACAAGGGGTGGGACCCTCATCAGAGGAGCTATAGTGAAGTGAGACCCCACACACTGGCCAGGGACCAAAGGGTAGTCCCTTCCCATCTTGTTCGGTTGTAAAACGGGGACATTAATGCCTACACATGGTCACAGAGTTCTGGGGATCAGCCGGTGCGGGGGTGAGTTGGTGGGGGCAGGGGATAGTGGCAAGCTGAGGGGTCAGTAATCAACGGAGAGTAGGTGGGGTGTAAAAACGCATCTCCAAGTCTGACCTAGACCTATGACACTGTGGGTAGGTTTCTTTAACAAGAACTTGAAATGGAATACTATGCTATCCTAAAAGGCATTGTCCCGCCATATGCTAGCTGTCTAGACATTCATAAGCCTATGCTTCCCCACAGTAACCACACACAAAGGTAACCCAAAAGGGGCACATAGAATGCAATGACTTCTAGTTCTGTAGCAGTGTCAGTGGTCAGGAGCACTTGGTAAGGTCCTTTCCGATGGGGCTGAAGGGCTCTAACTGTTATTTCTTATTTGACAGTGCTTCCTGTGTAATTTAACATATCAGATAAGACTAATTAGTTTAACCTCTCTCTTTTTATAAGGAGAGAAAAGCAATCTTTTGAGATGTTTCAAGGATCCTCTGGAAAATACCAATGTTAGCTAAAGGCTAAAAAAGACTTCATTCAGAGTGTGATTTGGGGAAGTTTGTTAAAAATAAGATGATCTTAAAATACTTGCCTAAATAGGATCACAGATCACTATGAAATTTAGTATTTAATTATCCTTTAACCAAGGAGACAAAAATGCTTCAAAGACAAATACAGAAGGTTACATAGCTGCAAAACTTGAGCTGTTTGTAACAGGAAAGACTCCACATTTAAAATAAAGTGCAGGAAATTATTTTGATAAAACATCCTGACTTTTAGGCAGGTTACTCAAAAGTACAGAAAAGCTTTTCATAATCTCTTTATCAAGATTAGATTAAAAGCCCAAGAAACCTTATCCTTATTACAAAAACAGAGAAAACCAAATTCTCACTTTCTATCAGTTTATTTTTTATATTAAAGCTCATGTACTGTATTAAATTCATTCCAATCTCAGCCAGTTTGACCTCGCGTGACTCTTTTCTCAGGGTTCCTCTTCCACAAACTTTCTTTTTTACGTTCAAAATTTGTCTTTTCTTCTTTCCCATAACCAGTTTTACTTTAGGACAAATTTTATTTTAACAAAAATATCTCCATTCCCATATCTTCTTTTACTGAAAACATACATTTTCTCATAACATAAATTTTTTAACGTGACACAAGATGTGTTTACTAATAGATGCAAACATCTTCTAGTTTTTCTGTAATAAGAAGCCAAAAGTAGATAAACCCCTGTTCAGTAATTCATATTTCCTTGTTTTATCTTATCTAGATATTCAATGGATTTTCCATCATTAACTTTTCACTTCGCAAAACTCTAAGGTGTCAAGTTACCAAAAGATTTGTAGAAGTTATTTTAAAGTACACATGCCATAAAACATAATTATTGCCCTTAAAATTCCATTTTTTGCTAACAACTATGTACTTCATTTCTTCTTAACAATCATACTTAGATTATTCATGAAAATTTCATGAGACATTAAAGCAGTTAGGTATCAGTTTAAGTTAACGTTTTCTTGCTGACAAATTTTATAACAGTGATGACATGAGCTTATTTGATTAATAACCCAGGTAGAATTTAAGTTGTATGTTTCCGTTATATCCAGTGCTGATAACTCTGAAGACATGCCTATTTTAATTAAACTAACAAATGTAAGTGAGCTTTTATTGACCAAACATTGTTTTCTATCATGTTAACTTGAAATACATATGGGTTAGTTTTTACTATATTTAGAAATAATTTATGTTCATTAAGTAGAATCTTTGTAGAAATCAACTTTGTTAATACTATCTGGAGGTAGAACAATATCACACATATATAATGTACATATGTATACATATACCAGCATAGAGATCTGACAGCTTTTATTTTCAAAATCTCAGCCATGAATCAGGTAGAACACAAAACTCACTAGCTGACAAATAACTGTGTCTCTAGCAGACGGAACAAGTTAAGGTTGCCTGCTTAAAAGTTTTTGTTGTTGTTAGTATTTGTGCAGAAGACTTTGAAGATTTATCTTTGCTGGAGATAAGGAGGCTCTGAACTAGATTTAGGGGAGAAAGCCTCTCTAGCAGCCTGAATTTAAGAGGAAATGTTCTTCCCTCTTTCTTTAGCCTCAGGCTTTACTGAT